TTTTAAAGGGCAGAACAGCTTTTGGAGAAAAATCCTTTCTTTCAGGGAAAGAAAGGGCTTTTGGTGACTTCTCAAAAGCCTTACATCTTAACCAATGGTAATATTTTGGTGTTGGTGTGGATCTGATGGCAACACATCAACTGACCGGAAATTAAGATAGGATAAGCTAATATACTTTAACCATGGGTCAGAGATGGTCCAAAGATACTTGAAAACGCGAGCACAGCTAAGATGTCAGATCTGAACCACCGCCAGGTTGTCTTTCACTACAGGAGAACTATATATAGTTGGTAGTGATTCTACTCAGGTTATCTTAAGTAGCAACCTTATGCCTGAAAACAACAACAAAAAAACTATGTGTGTGTGGGAGCGGACAGCAATCTGCAATCTAACGTATCTATACACAACAGCTAAGGACCTCCTAGAGACCACTGGATGTGTAACAGTTTAAATGACCGGGTAATAACAGCAGAGCTTTATTTTGATGTCAATGAGTTCCAGTTAAGATACTTGTCAACCTGCCTAAATATAGCACACTAACAAGCCATCAAGTTAGGACTCTGGCAGAATGAAAAAGTTACTTTGATGATCTGTCCATGAAAGCAAAATGTATGCAAGCAAACTAAAAACATTTTACTGAGATCTGAAATTTAAACAACAGAAACATTCAATGATAAAATGTTTGCAGGTATATGTCCCTTACTGCTAAGGTTTTCCTATGAGTGTATATGTATATATAAATCCATACACACATTATATAATTTATTTCCTACAAAAAAGGTTTAAGGCAGTTATGCTATATATAAAGTTCGCTATAATATTGAAGATAAAACAGTTCCCACTCAAGAAATTATGTGAATACAATAAACAGACTTCCTTATCATATAGGCTCCCATGAGGCAATCTATGTGCAGCACAGCTCCTATTACATAGCTGAGAGGCTCCAAACAGGAATTCCACTGGTAATGTGTCTCTCAATCCAGACATATAAAAGGTAGTCTCAACAAAATATCAGTAACACCTGAAGAAGATATAAAAGGAACTCAATACTAGGCTTCTGATTACCTCTAGAGACCATTCACAATCATCATTACCCATGACTCTACTAAATACAACCACTCAATATGCTCAAAGGTGGTAAAAGCGCAGTTTTATAGGGAAATCACTGCTTGAAAATGCAAGAAATGTTCATAATACTGAACATAGTTTGAAATAGAATCAAATGATTTATGCTACTTGCTAGTCACAAAGACATTTTTAGGAGGAGAGAAGTACTGAGATTATAGTGATTGACTAGTTTGAACCACGACCACCTGCAAGGTGAAGAAATTAGGACCCTGGGTATGAACAGCACCATCCTTTTTGGTCTTTATTAAAGTTCAAAGGAGAGAAACATTCTGATGTATGCACACAAACAATGGTTGACAAGGAAAAGGCAACCAGCAACAGCGCTAAGATCCAGGTTGTCAGCAGAAGGGCAGGAAGAATAAAATTCGGTTGATGAATACAAGGGCTTTAATAAACGAAGGGGGGAAAAGAGGCTATAATTTGTGATCTTTATACATCAGTGTGTTAGATGAGAATAAGAGAGATCATGTGTTACTCATGTCCACAGAATATTGAGTTATGTCCCCTTAGAAAGCTACTAGGGGGGAAGGCAAACCAGGAAACTGAAATGTTCAGCTATAAAAACAAAGGATATTATGTAAAGACACATTTTAAGTAAAGTGAAGATTGTCCTGTGTTGCTTTATATCCCACCACCAACCAGACCAGGAAGGTACCTATTATTGAATAAATGCTCAAGTATTTAGTTAAAAAAAAAAAAAAAGATCTTAAAGGTGTATTTGGACAGCTTCTGGAAGAGGTAGAGAAATCAACGGACATACTTTATTTGATTCCAATCACCAAGAGACTAGAATGATTGTTTTTTAAAGTCTTATTCTTAAAGAAAACTAACAAAGACACAAATAAAGTGAAATTAAAATAATTTTAAAATGAAAACTTGAATTTTAAAAGAGATGAATGAAACAAAACTGAATGTGATGTAAAGGTAAAAGAAAAAACCTTGCATATTAAACAATTTGCAAATAAATACACTTGGAATACAGACCAAGAGTATAGAATAAAAGTATTTAGCATTCAAGAAAAATCAGGCAGATTTCCTTCTGGAAAAGTGAAAGGTCCCAAGGAGGAAAATAATCCCCACAAAACTGTAAGCACAGCTTGAGGGTCAGGGCCAAATCCTAGCCATCTTGCTATTACTTAACACCAATTACAGTGACTGGGTAAACAATTGGTATTAATAAATGTTTATGAGTGAATAAATATCATAATGTATAATCAGGATAACTGGTGTGATTCAAACCTAATCAGGAAAAGTTCCTTGAAGTAGTACGAGCAAAGAACACAAGCACAGTTATCCTTAAGGGGAGCTAAAAACAGTTGTATTTTCTAATCTTTACCAGTGGTTAAGAGTTTTTAAATGTTTTTCAAAAACACAACTAGGTAGAACTCCAATACAGAATAACAAACAGTGAAGCTGCCATTGATGAGACCAAAGTTAGAAGTCAGAACAGCCTCCAATCCCTGAAGGCAGCCCTTCAGTGTCCCATAGCATATACCACTCATCTTAAAAAAATGATAGAAGCCATGGTCATTCGGTTCTCATCTTATTAAAACTGAGGAAATAACCAGCGCTGTGGAGGAGAAATTCTAAATATTGCTGCTGATTTAAATAAGGATAAAATTCAAAAGATATTATCACTTAAAAGTGATAACGACCCTCTGTACAGGAAAAAAAATGAACAATGAAAAAATAGGTCACAATAGGCAAAAGAGAATACAACGAGGAAAAAAAACCCAGTATCTCATCACAAAGAAAATATGATCATTAGACATAGTCACACAAATGTCATCACCACCATGAAGTCAACTGCTTGACAGTTCAATACAACAGGTGTTTCCAAAGAGTGGACACCCAGTTTTCATATTGTACAGACACATTCTAGATGTAGTTGTAGAAATGTGATCCACTATTGGAATGCTATAGTTGGCTCTGTGTGACTCAACTTATCAATGGAAGAATAAACTGCCAATAGAGCCTACTATTTTGAAAGAGAATTGTTCTCTAACATCACTACACCTTCTCATTAAGCAAACACTTCCAAAGGGCAGAAGCTTCACTGGTCATATCCAGCAGGTTGTACAGTGGTATTATAGACATTTACACCAATCACAGGATGAGCTAGAAAAACAGTAATTAAATGGCAGGCAGCAGGAAGTCTGGAAGCTAGTAGCTATCACTACGATGGTAAAAATCTGCCCAAGGCAGATCTAAAGAAAAGGATGTTAAATTAAATGGTATCACTTTTTGGCCTTTTGCCTAAGATCAAGTGTAAATTAAATGGTATTGACCTGGTACAAATAGAAACATAACAAGAGCATGAAAAAAAAAAAAAAGGACTTACGCATCTTACGCATGAAAATGACACACAAAGCAGTCTTTCACGAAATAAGGCCACCTTCAACTATTATAAACTGTAGAACCATTATGATCCTTAAGATCGGATCTATGCAGAGGTTTTTATAAAGTATCAATAGGTAATAAGTTTCCTCTAAAATAAGCCTTTGCATGTGAAGCAATTGTCAGGAATGCCTATCTCCCCTGGCTTTCCACATGGCTTGCTTCTGTCTCCCCACTTCCTTAGAGAAGCCTTTCCTTTGTCATGCTCTATTATAGTACCCTGTGTAGCTCCTTCAGTAAGAATTAAGCTGATTAGGGGTTATTTTAACTGCTATCTCAGCAAAGGCAGGGATCACGTATCTTATTCACCTTTATCAAAAGGTCAAGAAAGTTCCTGGCACATACAACAGTGAACAATAAATATCTGTTGAGTGAATAAAAAACTACTCACTAAGATTATACAAACATACACATATTCACACAAACACAGGAAAATGGGGAATATCTAATAAAAAACCACCAGATGCTGAAAAGTACTGAGATGGCACCTGCAGAAACAGGTGAGTATGGTTTCAAAGGACAAGTACCAAAGACTTCTGTTTTCAAAAATATGAAATTTACTAGAAGGGGGTCAGGAATAGTTATTCTCCATTTCTACTAAGATGCAAACAAAAAGAAAATTTTAAACTGCAATCAATTAATATTAGACATGGGATTATGTGCTGCAGAACACACTACCAACAGAACTTCTGGAATCTCTTTTTACTGCAGAGCACAAAATATGGTTGGTTATAGTCAACTACATATTCAGGATTCATTACGAACAGCTCAGACTGTAGATAATTATAAAAAACTTGCTAAACTGCCTCTCCTTCACTTTTTAAAATTCCGAATTTATAATTATGCAAAATGATTTTATAAAATTCAACACACTTTAAAAACAGATGGCCCTTATCTGTGGATCATACCTTTGTATCACTTTTCTAGGTATTTTGCAGAGGCAATTACATTTACAAAAGGTCCATTTAATAATACAACTTGGTAAACTAAAGAGTGAAATTACTCAAAGGGCACAGATCTGCTACAGAAGTATTTTATAATACCCTTTTAAAAAAAGTGTTTATAGATTAACTTTAAGAAAAGAATAAATATACTGAATAATTGCAGCATATTCCTGAAAATAATTATACTGCCACCTGTGCATTTTTCATGAGGTGTAAGGATAAATCAACAAACTGCTAGGTTAAACAAGTCAATAATTAGCTGTCAAAATTTGGTGAAAGACAAAGGGGCTTGCTCTACAGAACTCCCCACTGTACCCAGAATGAACTGCTGCCAGCAGTGTTAGTGCAGCATTACTGAAGATGGGTGACATGCTCCACTGTTTCGGTGTCAGGACAAAAGTGGGAGTGGGGAAGAGATGAGGAAAAAGTTTCAACAAGGTTTCCTTAGAATGAGAGTTAGCGGTCAATAAACAAAAAGAATGCTCAAGATTCACTGAACACATTAAGGTCAAGGATTTCAGAACTGAATCTACTTTTCTTCCCCCAAGAGTTTATTTTTGGTAAAAGGCAGAAAAATTAGTTTTTCTACAAGGGAAATCTGCTTCTAAATGATAATTTGAAAATCTTGATATATATTATATATTAAAAAAGACACACAAAAATAACGGAGAAGTGGGAATAACAGATCAGGTACTGGAACTTTATAAAGGTTTGCCTAAATCAAGAAGCAGCACACACACCCTAATTTATGCAAACTAAAAATGTATATAAACAGCACGACACTGTGATACTGGATCATGATACATTACCTGTACACATAACTACTACTGTTATTAATAAACCTTTGGGACACTCAGTTTTATGCCCAATCAGTAAGTCTTTAAAAATCTTCTCTTCCTCCTTTATGAGAGGATATTTCTAGACACTAATTTTCCCATCTAATATTCGAATATTGGAAACCAATTCCACAAGGTGCTTTAATTGATGAGACCTCAAGTGCTGTTTTCTTTCTTGAATTTTTGGATAGTAAAAAGTCCATGGGGACCACACACAAATACTATGACAGGAGAGTTGTTATATTAAGTCTTTTGATGGAATTTGATTAGTGATGAAGCTTTATGACATGCTTGAGCAACGCACTGAAGGGGATCCCATCTGAGTTAATACTTTGTCCAACCACTGTAGAGGTCCATTCAGATGAAGTTCAATCCAGCAAGGAGTACTTGTTACCGTCTGCCTTCTGTTTAAAAGAATACAAGAAAAATAATTAAAAGAACCTATCTGTGTTCAAGTTATATACATTAAGAATTTAGATAAATTAAAAGGCTATATAAGTTAAAGCTTAAATTCTTTTGGCCATTATTTTGAAAACTATTTAGTCCTTTTCATTATTTATCTTTAAAGAGATTTATAAAAATATAAGTGTATATTAAAATTAACAGTGAAATTATTTGCCACCTAAAATGGCTCACCTAAGGAAGGATATAGGCACTATTTAAAATCACACAAGAACAAAAGACATAGACCAGGACTATTCCAAGCAAACCAGAAAATATAATCACCTTACATATTAATTAATCACAAAACAGAAGATACTGAAAATAACAAATCTTAAATGGACTAGAACTCAAATTTAACACATACCAAAACAAAACAACTTTGGCCCAAGCTTATTACAGAATGGTAAGAGATGGACTGTTAAAACATCCCCCAACAAAATCAACAAATCATATACCCACTTAACAACATCATTAAGACCTTTACGGACCTCCCTGGTGGCGCCAGAGGTTAAATCTCAGCACTATCAACAGTGCCAGCCACTGCAGCCTGAGTTCAATCCCTGGGCAGGGAGGTGACCCACATGGCACTGCAGACCTCTCCTATCTCACCTACTGCTCCTCTTAGCAGTGTAGTTCAGTCAATCTGACTATTCTGCTTCCCACTGTCTCTGGTGAATCATCTCACCTCCCCTGCCCCACACCTCTTGTATATATAAATCTTAAAAAACAAAAACCACAACATACCACAGCTCTTGTATATAATCTTAAAAAAAAAAAAAAAAAACCACAACACTTTTGTTACAACAAAATGGACTACTCTTGGAAATCACAACTGTTCAAAAACACCTTGTCGTGTCCATATCCTGAATTTAGTTCTGTAATATTTACTATGTACATTAAGTCAGAAGAAGTCTGATTGTTTCTTCGACATGGCAGCCCTTCAAACATGAGAAAAGGCCATTATCAACTCTTTACCTCCAAGTCACATATATTCAGTATAATTTAAAACTGCATTTCAAAGGATGTGGTTTAATGTAGCAGATGGTGTCAGTGCCCTCTCAGATTTTCCAGTGTTCCCTAGCCAACTTTCAGTTGCAAGTATCTGAATTTCTGTGCCTAAGAAGTTCTCTCTTTTGTCCACATGCATAGCAGGCTCAACTGCCAGAAAATTAACATCCCCAGAGCAGTCCTTAACCAATGATACAGGAATTGGCAGTTATATGCCCAGTTTCCTCTCCCCCTAAGTGGGATAATTCTGTATGTTCTTAACTGTTTTCCCAAATTTTCCAATGAGAAAAAGCTCCAGTGACCCTCCTACTATATTGTATTAGAGGGCGCTATCTTCCCTTCCTCCCTCCCTCCTTTCCCTATGTCTTTCTTCCTTACTAGTTTCCTTCATTTTGTGAATCAACTCCTGGCACTCACATCCTTGTCTCAGAGTCGGAGACAAGGTACTTGCACTAGCATACCTCACAAGGGGATTCATATTTTGCATGAGGCACAGGTTAGAATAACACTTCTTCATCTCCCACTCTATTCTTTTGTTTTGTGCTTTAAAGTTTCTCCTGTCTTCTATCACATTCACAAATCAGACTTTCTGCAATAATTTTACCAAGATATCTTTTCATTTTGTCATTGGCTAAATTCTGGAAATTTCCCAATTATTTTTAATCAGACCATTTATTACTAGATTAGTTTAACCTTCAGGAATAATCTTAATCTAGGTAATCGAAGAAGAGCAATTTAAGACTTCATAATTTCAATTAAAATGGATACAAATGAACGAGAGAAGACAAAGAACAGAAAAAGGAATTAAACTAGAAACTTAAGAACTGAATATGTATTTCATACCGGTATTCTGCTCCCCACCCTTTCACAAAACTCATTCTTATGGTGCACATTCTAGTTAGCTGATACACGGCTTCAAAACCCTGATTAACAGACTGAGCCAGAAGAGCAGCAAATTCCTGGTTGTTGAAGATCTTCAGATTACAACCTATACATGAAAACAGTAGAAAAATTATGTAAAAGGTGTATCATTATTCACAAATATTTTTAAATGAGTTATAGATAACAGAATGCAAGCATGCAAATCATCTCCTGATTCCTAAAATTAACAGCAACTACAAAAACTCAGCAAAATGAGGTGGTAGGTTTATTTACATTGTATCCATACCTGGTGGAATTTTACACACTGTTGCAGGGTGCCAGCCGTATCTCTGATTACAATTGGGGCTCTGCACAAAGATTGCACTATCACTTAGGCACTCAGCAAAAACTTCCCCACCTATGTAATATAAGCGCACTCCTCTTCCTAAAACAAAATACATATGGGATTAGTTTTATAACATTTACTATTTTAGCATGACTTTGGAAGAGACTTCTAAGGAGGAATAATAAAAAAATATCAGGAAGTTTGATGACCTTTTCCACACTCTGCTTTTCTGAAATCTATCACTGTATTTTTTCAAGTATTTCAATGATTTTGATCTGTATATATATTCTTATACTTAAACAACTTAGAAAAAGTACATATATAGTAATGTTATATAAATTATATATTACTTTAAAACTATGTACAAGAAACTCTGTTAAAAAATTGCTTGAATCAAAATGCCTTGTTATTTAGGTCTTGAAAGGAACAATCAAGGAAAAAGAAAAATATCAGACGGTTTCACTTATAGGAAGAATATAGGGGAACCACGTGAGGGGTCAGGGGGAAAGAACAATACGACTAATAAAAATTGAGCAGACAACTATAAATTAGAGACATTCTGCAAGGGAGGGAGAGGCAGAGGGATCAAAACAGGAAGGAAGAGCACAAGGGACTATGGTGATGCTTCATGGGTGAACTGGCAGTGGGAATTTAACAGGGAATAACCTGAAAGGAGAAAGCAGACAAGCATCCACTATACAAAACGAACAATGATGTAAAACATACATACATATATATATATACATTTATATATATTAATATTTTTAAAGGCCTCTTCACTATTAATATTTTTGAAAGATCCCACTCAGAAAAAAAATAATAAAAAATCATCAAAAGGTCAGTTATTCACCCCTTTTAAAGTTATTCTGATGGTACCTAGATATACAGGCCGAATTAGTTAAGGAAAAAAAAAAATTGGGAGATTCTTTCAGAATCTGACAGGTAAAATGCACATAAAATATTAGATATGAAGAGATTTTTTCTTTTTAAAGAATGATGAAAGGTAGAGTTCTATGGAGGCATTGAAAATTCTCAGCTCTGGTGTGCATGTAATCTCTATTACTCAGTGAAGCACTAATCTAGGTGATTACATCGGATGTAATTAAGGTTTCAATCAGTTGACCCGGGATAGGGAGACCCATCTTTGGATGGCCCTCAAAGGGGACTGGATTGTTCCTGGTGAAAGTGCTTCAAAATGTGAATGAGAGAGGGATTTAAACAAGAGATTCTGCATGTGAACTGTCAAGGCAGAAGAGGTCAGGCAGCAAAGTACAGATGATCTCTGGGTGCTCAGAACAGGCTCTAGCAGACAGTGTGCAAGAAATGAAAACTCAGAGCTCAAACTTCAAGGAAGGGAACTGTGTGAAAATCATTTGAAAGAAGGCCACACAGTCCAGATGAGGATGGAGCTCAGTTGACACCTTGGCTTCTCCTTTAGAGACCTAAGCAAACTCCTACCCCTGACAGAATTACTGCCTACAGAAACTGTCAGATAATAAGTTGTACTGCTTCAGACTGAGAAGTGTGAAATGAAATGTTACAACAGCAAAAGAAAACTGACAAAATTACATCACCAAACCAGATACAATACATATAGAGAAACCTGATAGTCTGCACTACTAATCACCAAGAAAACATTAAGGCCAAAAAGATTTTTCAGGCTATTTTATTTTGATCAAGAATATTTAATAAATTAGAAATCAAAAGTAAAAAAGATAATTCAATAATTACAGCAACCTAAAATTTTGGGGAAGTAAATAGGGTAGAAGAAACCGTTTAAAAAAATTTTTATGCAGAACCCCAATTCAAACACCAAAAAACAAAAAAAAACCCACTAAATATTTTAGAGTAGGGTGGATATTCAGACTCCTCCCTCACCTACAAGACACCTGGGTATTTGAACAAGATCACACAAAATGTATACATCACACAGGTTGGAGAAATTCCACAAGGAGCCATCATCCTCTACGTCACAGGCAGTTAAGTAGAAAAAGTTAAGTTTCTTTAAGGTGCTGAGAACTATGTTCAATTATATTAGTTACTTCACTATCAAAAACAATACTGAAATTTTTACTTCTTCACTGTCACAAACAATACTGATGATCCTGAACAATTTCTTATTTATATGAACTGTATTGATGTAAACTTACCATCTTAGGTATTAAAACTGAAATTCAGGCCCTCCCTGGTGGCACAGCAGGTTGAAAGCACAGCACTAAGAAGCTAAAGCCACTTCAGCATGAGTTCAATCCCTGCCCCATATGGCACGGCAGACCTCTCCTGACCCGCCCACTGCTCCCCTCAGCAATGTACTTCCTCAGTCTACTCCCAGCTCTTGTCTCCGGTAAATTGCCCCTGCCCCTCTGACCTGTACCCCAGTTCTGTATGCATAAATAAATAAATCTTAAAAAAAAAACAAAACAAAAAACTGAAATTCAAAAAAATGTATTAGCTCACTTAAAATATGCACTACCTATTAACATAAATATTATTATGAAAAGTAACTGTATTTGCCAAAGCAAAATAAATTAATGAGAAGAGTGGCAAAATTTGGCATTTTTGCCTGGTTTAATAAAAGAGACCTAGATACTGATCAGACTGTGCATTTATTCACTTGCAAAATCATTATTTTTCAGTCTCTGGAATACTTCACTGTATACTCAAGAGAGAACAAGAGTGAAAAAAGCAAATAGCATTTTAATATCATTATGGAAATAGTTTTGATCTCATAAACTTGAAGAAAGAATACCTAAGAGTACCACATATTGAGATCCTCTGAATTGTTTTGAACAATATTAAGTTCTTTAGATATTGTGTCTTAGATTAACAGTGAGATGCGATTTAATATATGAACTCATTGAGTTGGGAAAACTGGGGAGCTGTAAACAAGTAAAGAAATTCATAATGTTAGTTATAACCCTAAAATCTGAACATGAAAATTTTATAACTTGGTAGAGATTCAACAAAGTAAAGTTATTTTAACACATACTTATTGAAGGACTTCCCAGTTATCAAGGGTGCCAAATAAGGAGAAGTTGAAGATAAAGAGTCCGCAGATGGAAGGATTACCAGGATCTATTAAAAGCACTGAAGCTGTGCAAATTTAAACGTGACTGTATTTAAACTGACAGAGAGAAGGCAGACTTTTGTATACCATTTCTTGATGTGGTAAACCACATAATGCTCCCATTATGAGTTATACAGCACTGGCTTTTCATACGAAGGGAAAAAACCAACATACCTATATGTCTTCTTGTCATTTCCACTGTGGCATTTCTGTTGACATTGGAGAGTAAACCTAAGCAGAACCTCTCTGAATTTGATGGATCTGTGAAGCCATCTACGGTAAGTGAGGGTTGTGATGCATGGAAGGTCTCTCCGACCCTCTGGTTTAATTCATAATATGCTATCGAACACCAAAAGGCAGGTTCTGAGTAAGTAACTGGCTGCAAATCTGGGGGGAAAAAACAAACCCAGTACAGCAAGAAATGTTGTGTGAACAATGCAAGCCAAGAATAGATTGAATGTCATCATCTTTATAAGCTTGGTGCCAGCCTACATTGGCAACAGCTTAGGAAGTAAACTTAACAACTACATCATGAACCCAGTTTCAATAGATCATACCACATTTTCAATGTTTCAAATATCCCCCATTCTATTAAATCATCCAATCTTCAAGTATTTTTTTAGACTTTATGGTGGATAATTTGTTTTACTAGTACCATTACCCCAGTTCTCGTTCAAGTATCAACAACCACAGGCACGGTAATTCAAGTTGTAGGCTAATTTTTGGTAATATGAAATAGAGTAAAGCTGGAGCAAGGATTATTTAGTCAAAAGCCACAAGAATTCTGTCATAACAGGATACAAAACATGACCTCTTATCCTGATGAAAAGATGTCACAGATATATTCTCCAAATACATTTATTTAGACATGCACCTCATAGTAATTGCTATTACAAAATATATTGTAAAATAAACATAATCATAAAATGCTAGTCATTACAAGTAATAAAATTTTCCATGAATAAAAGGATTATTAACTCCTCATATTCAATGTAAGTAGAAATGTTTTAGTAATACGGAGGCACACCAATATCAATTAAAATATCAATATCATCTTTAAAAGGCATTAATCAATTTGATTATTCATTGAGACCCCTTTCTCATAGTTATGAAAAACCGTAATCAGGGAGGACATTTTATTAAATGATACGGCATTAAACTGTGAGAGGAAAGTATTTGCAACTTACCCAAACTATGATTAACAGGGGAAAGAGTTGTAGGGGACAGTTCTGCTGGAGATCCTGGAACAAAAGGTTCAATATTAAGAGATGTGGAAGCATCTAACCAAATAATAAAGTTGAGGTTACAGTTATAAATAATTATCACAAATACATATAACCTTATATCCCAAGAATTCAAAATATACTGTTATGTCAGTTTAATTTTGGAGGCATGAGGAAGTAAAAGGTATGAGTATCAACAGCCCTCATTTTTAGATGCCTACTTTCCTTTCTCAAAGATCCAGCGTTCTTTGTAAGCTTTTCCAGAAAAAAAATCCAACAAGCCATATCTTCTGTGCCCCCATTTCTATATAAACATTAACACTGTTCTGAACTTTAATAGTATCTAATCACAGAAATAAAGTCTACCTGCTGTAGAAAACTACATTATGGTATATTTAAAAGGTTCTACATTGATGAACACTCAGGTTATTTTTAATCTTTTGCTTTAAGAACTACTACAGTGACTGGCCTTGCACCGTTTGCATACTTCCAACCACATCTGAGTGACACACTATATGGCAGGGTCAAAGGATTGTGCATCTGAGATTCTAGAAATTTTTACAAAATTGTAATCTATAGCAGTTGTACCAGTGTGCATTCCCACAAACAACATAATGATGAGGAGATGCTCCTGGGTTAATGATTTAGGTGAGAACATGATCATAGCAAGTACAGTTTTAATTCGCATTTCTCTTATTTCTCTGTTACAGTGTTTGGTCACTTCTTATTTATGTAAGTCTATGTATTAGGTATGTTAGTAGTCCTTTCATGCTATGGGTTACCTAAGGTTAAAGAAAATATACATTGATCTCTGATCCTCCATATTCCACCTCCTTCATTCCTGGAACACTTGTCATTTATCCTTTCATTCTAAGACTAGGGATGGATTCCTGGATGAGGTTTCGCTAACAGAAAGGAAAGTCACAATTAGAAGCTTGGCATTCTCAACCCTACCCCTCATTCTTGAGTAGGGAGAAATAGTGAGTTAGAGTTAGTCATCATTCCTATGTGATGGAGCCTCCACAAATCCCCAAAACATGGTGTATGGAGTTCCCAGGTTGGGGATCACATGGAGGTGCTGGGGAAATGATGTGCCTACTCCACAAGTTCTTTCCCATGGGAACTATTCATCTGTATCCATGCATAAAATAAACTGGTAAATGTGTTTCCTTGAGTTCTGTGAGTCACTCTAGAAAACTAACTCGAAGACAGATCACTAGCAGCTCTGATCTACAGTGTATGTTCAGAAGCGCAGGCATTCCGGGCTTGTGACTGGCATTCTAACTGCGTGTAGGAGAGTAGGGCGAGTGTATGTGGCAAGTCCTGTGGGACTAAACTCTTTAGCCTGAAGGACCTGATGGTACTGCTGGGCAGACTGTTAGAATGGAGTTAAAGTGCAGACACCCAGGTGGTAGCTGGATAACTGTTCAACGCGGGGGAAAAACTACACATATGGTTACCTGCAGAAGTCATTAAGTGGAATCTATCATGTGAAAGTAAAGGAAACACAAAGGACAGAACCCTATGGCTTTATAACTCAATCTTACTTTTGATCATGCAGTATTAAAAAGATTTACATGATTTACTTCATCAGTCATTTTGGGAGTCAGGCACATTTCGATAAAAGCATTGACAGTAATCCTTCTTTAAGGGATTATTTCTGAAAATTTCCCATTAAGTATGACACAGCTTTGAGGAAGCCATAAAATTCCTTATTCAGGATTTCTGCATCAGTAATCTTAAGCAATACTGATCTGGTATATTGCACTTGCAATGTAATGCTGCCTCTGTCTGTAAATTTTATACCTTTTCTAAGTTCTACAATAGTTCAAACAGTATTGTGATAACACATTTTTTAATAGGCTGATAGAGCTACTGTTTGAAACTGTTTGCAATTAACAATTTTCTAGGATTCACTCTTTTAACATTTCTCTATTCAATGAAAGTTGATTAAGATGACTATTTTCTGAAGTCAGTTTAGGTCAATTATGCTTTCTTAGGAAATTACTAGTTTCTAATTTTAGATAAACAGTCTAACTCTAATCAAGAAAATGGAAGGAGAGAACAATTGCATGGAGAAAGAAAAAGGATCAACTACAGACAGAAAAAATTATTGAGTGACTACTCAATTCCATTCAGCTAAATTTTAATATATTTGGTTGTAAATATTAAGTAGTCACATATAATTACTGGCTGTTTTATTGTACGATAATTCTATATACTGTTTGGGAAAGGTATTTTAAAGCAGCCTGATCTACATTTCCCAAGCTTCAAATACAGCTTCAAACAGCAATAAAACAGACCTAGACTCAAACAGGTCATATCACTCTGTACCCTCTCCCCACTAGAACCGTAACACAAAACACCAGGCCACACAGGTGAAATGGCAACCCCTCCGCCCCCCAAGTAGATGAATCAGAAATACAGAAGAGGTATTATTTATTTTTTAGAAAACAGAAGTCTTCCATAACAAAACTATGGGGTTTTTTTTAATTCCTCAATTTGAAAAATCTGTTGCCAAGTCATGTACAACCAAGAAAAGTCAAAATATATTTAGAACCATGAATTAAAATTCACTGCTGTTTCCTGAATCTGATATATAATAAAGTCATTATTAGAGGTAGAGAAAATGCCAAAATTTCCACATATTCTAACTGTTGACTCCTTTATTAAACATTTGGCATGACCAGTAAAGTCATGGTTCATTATTTCAGACTAAAAAGAGTTGAGCGAGATGCGGTAAGTTAGAATTATAGACTACAAAAAAGAAAGGTTCATTATAAACATAAAATTTTGAAAGGTTAAAATCTAACAATTAGCAAATTAAAGGTTTTTTTAAAAGATTAATTTTTATTTATTAATACATATAAGAACTGGGGTGTAGGCTATAGGTATTGGGGTGGGGGGGGCGAGAGGATTCACCAGAGACAGACTGGGAAGCAGAGCAGGCAGATCTACTGAAATACATTGCTGAGGGGAGCAGCAGGGGAAACAGGAGAATTCTGCTGCATCACATGTGTCAGCTCCTTGGCTAGGATAGAATTCAGGCAGTCACAGTGACAGTGCTGAGACTTCTACCCTAGGTCAACAGGGAAGTACCCCAATGGATGTTCTTAGAAGCATTTTTTTTTTTTAAAGCAGAGGTTATTCAAATATACATGCAACTATTGGAGTCTAGAACTTGCAATTAGGATAGCAAATACCCTCACTAAGCTAGCTTGAATCAGTAGTTCTGTTACTTGCAAGTCAAGTAACAAATTATTTGAAAACTCTTGTTCAAGTGTCTCTGGATAAAAGTGAACATACATTTGGGGCCGTTCCTAGTAGCACAACAGGTTAGGGCACAAAATTGCAAGCTGGCTGCAGCCACTTCAATCCAAGCTCAGTGCAAGCCCCACAGGTGACCCATATGGCACGCAAACCTCTCCTGTCTCACCCACTGCTCCCCTCAGCAGGGTACTTCGTCAGTCGGCCTGTTCTGCTCCCCACTCTGTCTCTGGTGAATCCTCTCACTGACTGTGCACCTCTGGCCTGTATCCCAGTTCTGTACACATAAATCTTAAAAAAACAAAGTGAACATATATCTATAGGATACAATTTTCAAAGTGGAACTGTTAGATCAAAAGGAATGTGAGCATGTATTACTTTTTATACTTTTATTTGAATAACTTTATTTTTACATAGTTTTGTGTTTATTAAGCATGTTTATTAATTTTTTTAATTTATTTGTTCATACAGAACTGGGGTACAGGCCAGAGGCTCAGGGGCGGTGAGAGGCTTCACCAAAGACAGAATGGGGAGCAGAACAGGCAGATC